AAAAAAAAAAAAAAAAAAAGAATAGAAAATGATATACCAAGTTTACACAAATTGAAGGAAAGTTGGGATGGCTATTCCAGTATTAGAAAAAAATTGTATTTCAGAGCAAAGAATATTACCAGGGATAAAGAAAGTCATTGCATAATAATTAAGAGGTCAATTTATTGAGAGGAAATGAAAATGCTGAGTATTTATGCTCCTAGTGATAGAGCTTCAAAATACATGAAAAAAAATTGATAGAACTGAGGAAGAACAGAAAAATCTATACAGAATACACATGATTTCAAGTGCACATGGAACATTTACTAAGATAGACTATGGTCTATCTATATCATAAAGCAAATCAAAGTAAATTTAGACAGTTTAAACCTATAACATATGTTCTCTGACCATAATGGAAGTAAATTAGAAATAAATTACAGAAAGACATCTGAAAAATCTCCAAGTAGTTGGAAAATTCCCAAGTAGTTGACTAAATGACACATTGCTAAATAACACATGGAGGGCTAGGTGAGGTGGCTCATACCTGTAATCCTAGCACTCTGGGAGGCTGAGGTGTGTGAACTGCCTGAGCTCACAGGTTCCAGATCAGCCTGAGCAAGAGCAAGACCTCATCTCTAAAAATAGCCAGGTGTTGTGACAGGCACCTGTAGTACCAGCTACTTGGGAGGCTGAGGCAAGAGAATCACTTGAACCCAAGAACTTGAGGTTGCTGTGAGCTATGAAGTCTTAGTACTCTACAGAGGGCAACAAAGTGAGACTCTGTCTCAAAAAGAAAAAAAGAAAAAGAAAAAAAAATAACACATGGATCAGAAAAGATATTTCAATTGAGTGACAATAGAAATATGTCATATTAATTCCACTCAAATTTTTCTGCCACCCACATATTCACTCCTCAGCTCTCATTTATTTTGGGTGGGAAAGAGGGTGGTGGGTTACTTGTAATTTTCCTGCAATTTTAAAAGACAAAAGCATAAATATGAACTTACCTGATGATTTTATTATTTATTTTAGGTTAAATAAAATAATTAAAGTGTTTTTGTTTATAATTTTTTTTTTTTTTGAGACAGAGCCTCAAGCCGTGCCCCTGGGTAGAGTGCTGTGGCACCACAGCTCACAGCAACCTTCAACTCCCGGGCTCAAGCGAGTCTCCTGCCTCACCTCCCAAGTAGCTG